TCTGTTCTCGCGAACTCCCGTTGCTCTGCCTTTTATAGATGCTTTAGAACATGTCGGTAACTTTGGTGTTACTTTTGAGAAGAGGGGTTCCTTTCGCCTTCTGAACTTTAAGTGACAATAGTCTTCTCTAGTGCCATATTATTTCTGAACCTAGGAACCAGGTGCCCTATCTGACAGTAGGCGTCTTAGAAACCCAGACGGAGGGAGGCAATTGGGGGTCGGGTGTCGGTGTTCGTACTACTTTTGCGATTACCAACGTAGATATGACCCTATCCGGGTTAAAAGGAACAAGTCCAGCTGCTTCGAATCCTGATCTGATGTTTTTTTTGTGAAAAGCACCAATGAAAGCTTCTAAAAATCCAGCTAAGAAATCCTGCTTCTCAATATGGGTTTGATGCCTTCGCATTAAACCCTCCACGAACGCACCGTACAGCCGTTTCAACACACTAAAAGGTACCAAATACAAAGGCTGGAGCTTGTGGGATGAATGGGAAGGCATACACAATGTAATTACGCCGTGCGCCGCGAGGTAAGTCTCAAAATCCATCGAGTGGTGGCTCTCGTGACCATCCAATATTAAGAGACTTTTCGTACCCTTCCGACGGCTAATAATATGTTGAACAAAGTGTTTTGCCCATTCCACACCAATATTATTAGTAGTCCAACCGTTATGGGAAAGGTCGACCTTCCAGTTGGCCGGTAGGTCGTTACCGCGATACCACGAAGCAAGATGAACCTTGCCCGCGAAGATGATGTACGGCGGTACCGCCCAACCTTGCGAATTAATAGCCTGGATCACCGTAACCCATTCCCGACCTCCTTGTGTAGCCTGTCTAGGCCGTCCGTGTCTCTCTGCACTCGTTACAACCATACCGGTTGTGATTATGCCCATTAGGAAGCCCGTCTCGTCAAAGTTGTAGATATCCTCCGGTAGGATACCGTATTTAGCGATTGTGTCCCTAACAAGCTCAAACCACGCGTAATACGCGATAGGATCTTCGCTAAATACCCTCTGGTAATCAATTCGACGGTTTAAACGCGTTCGGAGGTCTTGTCGGCGGTTAACGAAGTTCGTGGTCCAGTTCTTGCCGACGGGGGGCGCGTCGCGTACGCGTCGTAGGATATTCGCCATTTCTTCAACGTATCGAAGCCGAGGAGGAAATGCTCGCGCATCTAGCTCAATTATACGTCGGGCAATCGTATCCTCTTCGGTTTGAGTTAGATTTCGTTTTAACATATTAGCTTCGTGTCGCGTTTGGTCGCCGTCGAATCGATTCTTTAGTGTGTGAAGGTCAACCCTCGCAGACTCACTACAACCAGGTGACTTACAGCTGGAACACCTGCCGTGGCAGTGTCAGATGGGAAGCCAATCATAACCCTTGTAGGAGCCCCGCCAAGCGTGGATGACTTAGTCGCGCTCCCTCAAACCTAAGTTGTGATCTTCTTTCCTTCGCTCCTTAGAGTAGAATCTTCGTCGATAGCACCTAATGTCTCTACCAATGCGATGCAACCCAGGTCGTGACATTTAATCTCGAAATCGAAATTCTTAATCTATATAATCTACCTAATAAGAAGAGATCCTAGAAAATCCGAAGTAATATTATTATTATTATTATCATTAAATACGCCGTAGGCTCGAAGCCCCCGGTACCTCTACAAGTGCTCCCGTATGTCAAACCGTGCCCTAATGGCTGGACTAAATACATACGCTGCTACGTAGGTTCGCTCTATTAGCGACTGCGTTACGTCCACCACAATACTATGTTAGTTCTCACCCTACTAACAAAGTCCCCCTGAGAATAATATTATTAATCTAAGTAATTAGGACTTTAGTATTAGCTTCGAGAATAAAATATATACTATAGACGTAATTCCGTAACCGCTATAATATCTTTAAAATATCTCTATACTCTTGTTTCGTTAACGTAGTCCACAAGCGAACGGGTCACCCAACCGAACGGGTCACGCCCATAGCAAAAATAGAACTAAACTTCCTAACTTTACCACGCAACTAATTCTCGATGGATTCTGCTCAAAAAGAATCTCAATTACTCCTTGCAACTCAGGCTATCAGAAATGACTCAACACTTAGTATCCGACGTGCTGCAACAATCTACAAAGTCTCGAATACTACTCTCCAGGCGCGTCTTCAAAAACGTCAATCACGTCGCAATATCGAAGCCAACGGTCGGAATTTAACAAAACTAGAAGAAAATACGATTATTCAAAGGATAATTGAGCTAGATTCGCAAGCATTTCCTCCCCGGCTAAGTGCTGTTGAAGATGTGGCAAACCGACTGCTACGCGACCGCGACGCGTTACGCGTCGGCAAGAACTGGGCCTCCAACTTCGTTAAGCGACAACCACAGCTCAAGACGGTATTCAGCCGTAAATACGACTATTCTCGGGCCTTATGCGAAGATCCAGAGCTTATTCAAGGCTGGTATGACCTTGTGCGCAATACAATTGCGAAATATGGGATCGCCGATGCCGAAATCTACAATTTCGACGAGACCGGCTTTATGATAGGTCAGATTACCGCATCGATGGTTGTTACGAGCTCTGAAAGGAAAGGCAAGCCTAAGCTAGCCCAGCCTGGCAATCGGGAATGGGCTACGGTGATCCAGGGCGTCAATTCCCAAGGCTGGACGGTCCCGCCATACATCATTGTCAAAGGCCAATACCACCTCTCTTCCTGGTACGAAAACGACGCGTTGCCGAAGGACTGGAGGATCACCGTGAGCCCAAATGGTTGAAATACGAACGAATTGACCGCAGATTGGCTAAAACACTTTGACAAATACACCAAAGGCCGGAAATCGGGTGTATATCGCCTTCTTATCCTGGACGGCCACGAAAGCCACCATTCCGACGCCTTTGAGCAATATTGCAAAGAGAACAAGATTATTACACTTTGTATGCCTGCCCACTCTTCTCATATCCTCCAGCCACTAGATGTGGCATGTTTTGCGCCGTTAAAAAAGGCCTACGGCTCGCAAATTGAGAAGCTCGTCCGAGCCCGGATTTCGCATATCACAAAGGAGGACTTTCTTCCGGCATTTTGCGACGCGTTCAAGAAGAGCCTGACCGAAAGCAATATTCGTGCAGGCTTTCAAGGGGCTGGGCTTGTGCCTTTAAGCCCAGATATTGTTATTGAGAAGCTGGATGTGAAATTACAGACTCCAACGTCCTCCCGGCCCCCTACGCGGGAAATGTCAGATAGGGCACCTGGTTCCTAGGTTCAGAAATAATATGGCACTAGAGAAGACTATTGTCACTTAAAGTTCAGAAGGCGAAAGGAACCCCTCTTCTCAAAAGTAACACCAAAGTTACCGACATGTTCTAAAGCATCTATAAAAGGCAGAGCAACGGGAGTTCGCGAGAACAGAAGTGTCAGAGCCACAAGTGTCATCCGAGGCGGGCCGGCTTCCACCAGGAAGGAAGTCGTTTGTGGCGAATGAGGAGCCGGGAGGCCGTTTGTGGCGGCTAGAGAGCCGCTTGTGGCGAATGAGAGCTGTTGAAGCCGTTTGCAGCGGATAGGGAATCGCTTGGTTGCAGATAAAGAGCCGCTATCCAAGATGTTGGCCGAAGTCGGAGGAACACAGACATGCGGAAGCAAACATCCAGAATCCAACAGAGAACCTCGGCTGGCTATAAGTAAGGAGTCGAGACGGAGGAAGATAGAGAGGGGAGAGATCAATGAACTACTGTGGACACCCCTACCTGCCATCACCAAGTGACCACCAGTGAACACCAGGTGACCACCAGGGGGACACGCCTATTTCTCCCCTTCACTCTGTACTATCGCCTTCGGTCCAGGCCGTACCCTGACAAGAAGACAGACAGACAAGAACACACCTCATTTATATACAATCTTACGCACTGCTGACTACTCGATTGGACACACGTGATATTCGACAGGAAACCCTTCCTTGGGCTTCTCGGACGCCAAACAACCCAACCGAGGCTACTTCGCAATTCCAATTTATTAAATCTCTAATTTCCAAGCATCAAAATAGCTCCCCGACGTCAATTTACGATGCTATCGAACAGTTTTCGAAAGGAACGCGGAGTATTATGCATAAGATGGCTTTACTCCAAGCTGAGGTCGCCGAACTTCGAAAGGCAAATGCTCTAATTAGCAAGCGGCGCAGGGCCAAAGAAACACGAGTATGGCTTGGAGGATCACTTAATTCACAAGAAGTACAAGATTTTCAAGATCAAAAGGACGTTGCGCAGCAAGTACAGCAGGAAATGCGTGGAAATAGCGCTGGATCAAATCGTGGCCAGCCACGGCAACGGCGCTGTGGCGTATGCGGGAAGACCGGGCATAATGCGCGAACCTGTCAGGTAGAGATATAATTATCTGTACAAGAGTATTCTGAGTAGTTTTAATTGATTTACGGCGTTATGGTTGCGAAATCGTGTTGAATTCCATGTTTTGCTAGTTGGCGTGACCCGTTCGCTTGTGGACTACGTTACTTAGGGAGTACCTAACCGAATAACTAGCGAAAGGATATATCCGACCCTCGACATCCCTAGTAGGATACCCTATCCTATTCGTCCCTAAAAAGAACGGGATATTACGACTTTACGTGGATTATAGACAGCTGAACGATATTACGAAGTGAATAAGAGACGCGTTATTATAAAGGCGTATGATTTTCCCGCAAAATAGGGGTGTATACAAAAAGGTGGTTATTACGGTTAGAGCATGACTGTATTTGAGTTCTAATCCTGGCGGTGCTCATTACAAGTATCATAAGACACCAGGCAGTCAAATAGACATAGTCCCACCCAAACGCCACTGATGAAGTAGTGCCGCCCCTACTCATCCTTGTATACACACATCATAGTCAATGCTGAACAGTTTCCCACTAATTTCCCTGCTCCCATGTGATGATGAATGCAAAACACCAACTATGCACACCTAATCTAATGCGAAGACCATGCCACGGCCTGCTTCCATATGTCTATACATGTACCGTTACCCGACCCCTCTATATAGCCCATGAGCCTCGTCGCTCACGCATGCCCCAAGCAAGGGGATTTCCTTCTCGGTCGAGGTCAGGGTGTTGCCTCGCCCACTCCCATATGTACAGCTTCAGCGCCCTCCACCGTGGGGGTTTCGTTTTGGACCGCGCCTCGTCCTCCTCGGGGGTCCTCATCTCCTCGTCGCCGCTCGTGTCGGCCGAGGACCCATTAGAGCTAGTGCGAACCTGCATCTCCATTTCAAGCATAAAGCCCTTGCCGAACTCCTTACTATCATCTTGCTGCAGTTCCTCGACTCTGATGCCACTGATCTTGCTCAGCTCTTCGTCAAACGCCCGTGCCGTAGCAGGATAGCCAAGACTAATATAGTTATAGACCTGCGTAACGAAAGCGTCGTCAAACTCGGCGCGGATACGTTCTTGGTTATCCTTGCGCACCTGCTCCTTCTTGAGACGCTCGTCCAGACCGGAAAGCAGATGCAGGCCTCTAGGCTGCGAGTGGCGCTTCGACGGAGATATCGGACTGTGGGGCGTCGAGGTGCCGTCGGTGCTTGTAGTGCAAGAAAAAGCCATGGAAAAGGGGTCTACCGGGGTTAGCGGTTCCCCGGGCGTGGCAAGAAGAGTCGGTCCATGAAGGCCAGAAGAAGTGGCCTCTTCGTTGGCTTGGGCGACGCAATACCCTCTCCATAGGCCCGTATTGCCCGAAACATCACGGTTCTGCTCCTCGGGGCGGGCGGAGACTCCATCCAGTGGGTACGGGTGACCTGGCTCCATGCGGGTCGCCTTGGGACTGGAACACATGCGGAATTTCAAGTCAGATCCAAGCATGGGCGGGGAGGCGGCGTTGCGCATGCGGCGGAGTAGTTGGTCCTCCTTGTCGTTGTATGCGGCGAAGGGATTCCCAAATGGGCTCGAGCGGAATCCAGTTGTCTCGGGCTGGACGTGGGAAGAGGGCGCGACAACCTCGGCTGGGGCAACGTAGGGGGAGCCCATGGGGCGTGGCGATGACGCCGTGATGCAGGGGCTCTGAGACTCTGCATCTCCATGGCCGCGCGAATCTGGCCTGGGGCCAGTTGTGGTCCAGAGAGGATCCTCGGGCGGAGGTGCTATCTCCATGTGTTCGACTTCGGCGTCTAGGCTCTCATTGCTGCTGGCGCGTACTCTAACTAGCTTATCGATGTTGGTCAGCTTTTCGACATGCTGGCGCATTTCCCTGGCGGCCCAGCCTGGATCGGTCGACTTTCGTCGGATCAGTTTGGACGTACCATGCCTCAAAAGCGCGTCGACGTCGTAAGCATGCTCATCTTCGGAGTTGTCTCTGACGAAGAAATGTTCGACACCGGCTGGCCGCACACCATTGGGGAATGCTGACATGGCTTGTTCAAGCTCCCGTTGCCTGTGTGCCTCCCGTGCCGCGACTGCTAGCAGGTAGCCGGCGAAATCCTCGTCGCAAGATTCTCTCCTGTTCCTCAAGTCATAGTTGCGGGTGGCCCACGACTGGCCATCCAAGTCCATGCCAACATCCTCATCAACATGGGCGTGCGCAGGTGCTCCAATGGTGAGATCGGGCAGCTGAGTATCCTTTTCGGTTTCGTTCTCATTCTCGTTCTCGTCATTCTCATCGCCCTCATCCTCCGACCCAGAAGACAGGATGGTGTCAAGATCTGGATGGAACGAGTTGGTGCGGGTACCTCGGCGTGTGTTGGGGTGAGGCTTCATGGACTGTTGCCGGCGCGGCGTGAGCGCAAGGAATCGCGGTGAGACCGAGGTATCGGCCTCGCCGTCGTCCAGACTGGCGGCCCCTGATACACCCGCTACACCTACGCCGCCAGCGGCGCCGCTGACCCGAGGGGCTGACCCATCCGTCCTCTTGGGCTTGGACTTGGGCGCGTAGATATGGTTTGTGCCGGGTGTGATGTCTGTCTTGTCGGTAGGTTTGGTGGCTGGACCTTGTTGGCCAGCTCGTCTTGCCCGCCTTGACGTCTCGATCAATTGCGGTGCGAACTTCCTCTTTGGCTTCACATTTCTGTCTTTCCCCGTTTCCCCATGGCCAGTATTGACCAGAGGCAAGAGCAAGGGCGTGGGCGGGTGCAACGATGACGTCGGTGACGGGTCGGGTGTCAACTCGGCGGTTGGGCCGTGAGGATTCTTATTCCTGGTATTGTCAACGCGGTACGAGTCGAATATCGTCTCGATTGGCACAGGGGCGAATCTTCGTCGGGTACTTGATTGTGTCGATGCCGTGTCTGCCGTGTCTGCCGTTTCCATTGTCGTCTTGATGGTCGTCATGCCCATGTCGATGTCGTCTACTTGCACTGATGCATCCTTGGTCGCTCGCGGTTCGGGAAGTGCGTCCCTTTTGCTCGAAGACCTCGCCGTCTCTTCCATCAACTGAGGAGCAAAGCGACGTCTGGACTTTGGCGCCGCTGCATTGGCAGCGCCAGCCATGGTTGCTTCACCGTCTTCTGCAGCCATTGTCTTCTCGTGTCGCGATGCTAGTCGACGACAGTGGCACTGCCGATAGGAACGACGAGTTGGCGATGCTGTGCAACATGAATGTGATCAATGGTTTGATATTTCTAACGTTATGATTTCGTAAAGGCGTAAAGGCCTAGGTCTCACGAGGCCACAGAGAGCTATCACGGTCCAGAATCAGCACACCCTCAATTGACCCAGTTGACCCAGTCGACTTAGCAGCCCCGTGACGTCCCAGTCAATCCATGCACCGCTACTTGCCGGACACTACTGTGGTACAAAGCAGCTACGGTCTTTTCCGTGTTGTGGAGTCAGTGGATGCGTCAATTCGTCTTCACGATGCTTCGCCGGCAGCGGCTTCGTATACGACCAATGACGAGGGGTGCCGCAAGCCAGGGCTTCAGGGCTGGGTGTCAATTTCTAGCCATTGCCCGACAAGCCTGTCCCCGTGTTGCCTGTCTGGACTTAATGCGAGCTAAATGGATCCGGCTGCCTTCTTAGCTCTGAGTGACCAAGAAACGTCTGATGATGGATCGTCTTGATTCAGCATTGGGCTGTTGTCAATGTAGCAAGTTCACGAGACGTCCAAATTTGACAACTGGAAATGCGACGAGAAATACAGAATGCTATACGTAGTAAGCTCTATTGCCAACAATTGGCGTTGATGCCAAGTGTTTCTCTCAATACAATCCCAAGTTGCTCATATACGCAGAACTGTAATTGTGGGAGCCAAACCGTAGATAAGATAAGGTACACATGTCTGAGGTAGCCAAGTTAAGTGGCGACAACCCCAGAATCAACAGAAACTTTGGTACTTCGTGCAACGTCGCAAGACACTATCATCACAACAATAGTTCGATCGCTGCAATTAATTTTGCTCCAAAGTAGCCAGTCTGACCAAATTGAATCCTGCCAACTGTGCTTCTCTATTGTTTTTCCTTTGATTTTTTCTTATCACAATGGCTGGAACGAACCGCAAGAGACATCAGATGATAAAGGCTCTGGCCTCATATTGACTTATGCCATCACATTCGCCGAGATGGGCCGAGCAATCGGACGAGCTCTGAGCGACGGTATCTGGCTTATAGTTGATGGCTACCAGGTCACCTGTCAACACGCAATCTCGAGCTATGAACATCCCAAACTACACTATATAATTTGCTCTCATCGACCACAGTTGTTCAAGCGCCCTGTAATTAGCACGTGTAATCTACTATTTCGAGCCCTACGAGTAAATGCCATGTTCTCGAGTTTAGGGACATGCCGGCGATGATCCACCCATTTATACAGTCAATGGCGTCGGTCTCTCCCAATCAAGGTCTTACCATTCACATGGACTATCACGTGCTTCTACGTAAGCTCGTGAACCCGAGATGTGTATATAGCATTGCTTCTGGCGGTTGAGAACGGGCGGAAAGCTGCTGGTACACCGCCTGGGAGGTCCAACCTCACTAGGCCCGCTGCTCACTACCAACAATGCTTGGCAATTGATGCCACGATACCACCAATACAACCAATATAGAGCATACAGTTGCGGCGTCTGGTACCTCACCTTCACCCCACTCCTTTACCAAAATTCCAACTTGTTAGCCTCACCGACTCTTTGCGCGAACGCCGACAGCTGGCGCATGTGAGAAATTCGATCAATCCAAGCGGATGCTTCCCGGTGGGTTTTCATTAGTATCGAATATGCTCGCCGGCAACCAACCCCGCAAGAAAAAGGCACCATTGAGCTTTTCATGGGCCCATCAACGAACCATGGACGTTAGAAGCCAGCGCCCAACTACGGTATCTTCTCTTTTGCTAACTTGGAACGGCTCGACTGACTCGAGAAAGACTTAAACAGCTTTCCCCCGTTCGTGTCGTCTTGTCAACCTGATCATTCCCAATAGTCATTCTGGCGATATCCCTATTCCACTTGGCCGTTGGGATAAATTTGCTTTGCGGAAGAGTGCAGTTTAGAGTTGCTCGGTCGTATCAATATGATTGTTGCCGCGGACGGCTATGTCGACCAAATGGTTTGCTACACCAAGTTATGATATCTGACAAGGACACAGGAACAAGACCTGGGGGTGCGGCAACCATGTTTCCACACAGCTTGCCAGGGTAATTGATAGGCTGCGGGTATTTGGACGCTTTCCCCCAGGGCTGTGGATTACTTCATTGACCTGCAAGCAAGAGCTCGAGCAAAGCCCTGGATTTGACGAAATCTGATGTTGACAATACCCAGCAGAGCACTGTCATGATCTCCCAAGGGAAGGCAAAAGGCAGGGCAGCACGGTGGCTTGCATGGGTAGTGGGGGAGGGGGGAGGTGGTGCATACGCGAAATTTGTGGCAACTGCAGCAGCTTATCTCGCATGTGCAAGATAGCTACTTCAATGACCAAAAGCATTGAACGTACCCACCGGTTGAATGCTTGCCGCAGATGAGTATTTCGTAGAAGGGAGGGACAAACCCCCGACACGGGTATGATGATCTTGGCAGCCAAGAACATAAAGATGCTAATTTAACAATAGGTGCGGGAGGTTGGCAAGCTCTTATCGCCGTCGCAATCTGCTGTCTCGCCACTCGTGTGGTATCAGAAGAAATTGTTTCCTGCTGTTGTGACATGCCAAGGAACCAATGAGATGGCAGAATAGGTCGCAGATTAATGAACGACCGCGAATCGAAGATTCCACGGGAACTTACGCTTTGTACGAGTTAGAGCACCGATAACCAAGACCATCTTCCAAGCCTAACCAACCAGCAAGTCAGAAGGATCATTGAGCGCATTGAGGGTTGGGAAGTCTTGCATAGTCCAATAGATTGACAGAAACTTGACGTCTCGATGAGTGTCATGGTGTGCCACTATCCCCCATCTTTGCTATTTTATATGAGATTTGAGATGCTATTAACGGGACGCACGCGGCGCCGCGGCTGATATCTTGACATCTGCCTGTGCCTGTGCTACGCGCACACGCCGAGAACGACAACCCATATCGGTCTGGTGGAGAGTGGTCGGTTGGCTCACCGGGTCCGCTTATCTGTGGGTGGTCGGCGTAAAGAAGATTGGCAATTGGCTTTAGTTTTGTGGTGGGCAAATTGATGGGTTTAGGTTGTTGGCAAGCCAGGCCACTGAGACAGACCGAGAACTTTGGAAGTCACGACGACTCCATGAACATGCCAAGTATGAAATCTGCAAGATGCAGTGTTTGAAAGTAGCCACGCAAGCGAAAGCCGATTATAACAAGTACGACTAGCAGTCTGCGTGGCGGCAAGGACAGCAGTCTAGAAAGAAAGCTGGGTTTATTATCACCAGTCTAAGTCGGTACTCGGGACATGTTCATCTTTCGTTATTAGAATAGGACCTTCATCGTCTATTGAGATTCGAAAATACAACGTTCTGTTGCTGAAACCCCACCAAGCCCACTGCTGCACAGACTCACCAACCTTGCAAGGTTTGTTCTTCTGGATGACGTACTGGCTGCTATTTTAACAACGTTTGGCGGGAACTCTCTGGATTGCTGCGTAAAACGGGAGGACAGGCAAAACATATAGTAGGTTCTGGGAAGAAGAACCTAGAGGTGTTGGAAAAGGGACAAACATCTGCTTGACCCTACACATGGGCTGAGTACATAATTTCGGTGTCATTAAGCGGATATTCTTGCTACGACACGACGGCACGTGTTGACTGTATTGGAATGTGTCGATATCTACGACAGCGGCGGTTCGTCTTCCATGATATAGCTTCTTTGAGGATTATTAACTCAACTCTACCTTTGATGCCCATCAGCGATGTTAGGTGGGCTTCACCAACTCAAACTTGAGAGTGCGACAATCTCTTGGCCTCACATGTAAAAGTAGGCGTGACGACTCGGACCAATCCGGCGGCTTCAAATTACTCAAGTGTGGCAGACTACTGAAATGGATGCAGAGCAATCCGGCAATACGGCGACCGGGCCATATGGTATCAAATGACAAAGAGTGGGAAGTTGGCGGACGAGGATTCCTTCGTCTTGGTCTTCTGCGATTCAAGTAGCATTCCCGACAAACCGGGCTGTGTTATTGCTACTGCTCAGGGCCTTAGGGCAGCTCCCAGGTGACTTGCATGACCTTTATGGCGATGTTATTAGCCACAAACGCCTCCGAGGTGCCAACCCAAGCAAGATGTGCCTGTCAACCGAGCTGGCCGTGGGAAAACTTCAGTCCAGCCGGAACCATCTTACCTTTTACTTGACCACCCCAGTCAGCTCGCGTGCGTGCCAAAGGTTGACAGGGATGATGACCTGGCATCCTGGATTCCGTAGAACAAAAAATTAAAGCAAGATTGACTCATGATTGCTGGGTTGCACCAAGGACGAGTTGAGTGCAACTGTTGAGTGTCGAGTGTTGTGTATGCACGTGTACTTCGTACTTCGTACTTGCTCCTCAGTACTGCTGTGGTCGCGGTTGCTTTGGGCGGGTCAAGTCCCCATCGCTCGAGAGATCTGATCGAAAGAAAGGTTGGCGGCCATTATCCATACTTTATTACTTTATCTGTCTGTCGGACTCCGTCATGTCATTCCACTTCCTTTCGTCGTTCCTTACTTGAGCACTTGCACATAGTACTATAATTACTGTACATTCATCATCTTTACAATCTACTGTCCTTACTGCACAACAACTCACCCTCGCCCTCGATGTTTTGAACAAATCCTCGGCGTTGAGGTTGATACAGGTCTACTGCGGTACTTTGGTCTCACTTGTAGGACGGATACCCGGCAATAATGCCAATAGCGCACTCCCCACGAGTAAAAAAAGTATCGCAACCACCACTGCAACATTGAATACGACAGAAGATGGTGACCTACGGCCGGATGACGCAGCACGACGACGTAGATGAGAGTCGAGATGAGAGCCGAGAAAAAGACGATGGCCACCCTTCCTCCCCAAACTCACTCTCTCCTGCCCTGTCGTCGTCGCCGCCGATGCCCTTTGTTCGGTCCTCCGAAGCGGCCTTCACGCCCTTGTCAATGTCGGACAGCGACGTGTATCGCGACTATCGAGATGCTGATAACGAGTTGCATGGCGGCGACCGCACCCATGAGCACATGCAGGGGAAGGAAAAGGCGGCGCCGATGCTGGATTCAGCTAGCATCACAGCCACAACCAGCAACAGCAGCAGCAGCAGCAGGAGCGGCCTCAACGACCGGGCCTTGGCCCAATCGCTGGCACCAGCACGAGCCACAAGCACCAGCATAATAAGCACAAGCAGTACAAGCGCGATAAAACGAAATCATCAATACGACCTCCTTTCCCTAGCGGACGAGTCCGCGGGCGAGGGGGAGTTTTGGGTTGTCGAGTCAGGCCTGTTGAGTCCACACTTGCAGAGTAGCAATACGAGTCCGGCGACAAACCTTGCGACTGCCGCCCACAAAACTTTGGGTCCTAGCAGCCACAGCTCGGGCGACAACAGCTCAACACCGGAAGCCACGACCACCATCGCGGCAACTGGCTGCACCAAGACGCCAGCCGACGAGCAAGACCGTGAAGACCACCGAGGCATCAATTTGTCCCGTTCTTCTATAGTTTCTTCTCCGTGCAACATCGTCAAACCCAAACCCAAACTACCCATCCTCCGCACTGCTTCCACCAAAAGTGTTACTCTCGTTCACCCTGCGCCTGGTTTGTTGACTCGATCGAGCTCGCGCGCCAGCAACATCGCCCAGCTTGAAGCAACAGCTGAGAAGCTGTCTATGACCTCGTCCATTGACAGCGCTATCCGAGACCTGCACGACGAACAGAAACGAGGCGACAGCCGCAGATCCTCCATTCTCGCAGCGAGTCTTGCTTCAGCAACCGCATCCCCATCCGGTCCCGAACCGAACTCGGCCGTCTCTTTCTCCAGGCAGGTCTCAACCGCAAGCTCCATCCTCGAGACCAACAACGCAGCCCGGCTGGGCGGCTACTCGCCCGCGGGTTATGTTATGTCTCCACACCACTCGCTGCTCTCCAACACGACGACACGCTTGCGCTCCGGATCCTACACACGAACTGAGCCCGAACCCGAAACCTTGTTATCGAGAGGCGGCCTCGGCAAGAGCTCAACTCGAAGCACCATGTCTGCTACCGCTGCCAAACCGTCTCTGACCGGCATCGCCGAAATGGAGACGTCGAATCTCACCCTGGCCGTCATGGACGAGGCAGACAAGCTGCCAGAGGAGCCTGAAGACGACGAAGCAATGTCAATTCCACACCCTGGAGACATTCGTCCAACATCAAACGAGCCACAATACCAAGGGATAGCTGCCAACGCTAACGATTATTGGGACGAGGCAGTTGCTGAAACCGGAAGGGAAAAATCTCTTCAAGATCAGAGGCCAACCACGCCTGCTGGCTCCGCTTGTACCTTTGAGCAAGCAGAGAGGGCATTTGCCGACTTCGACGGCGCCCATTGCTCCCCGGATGCTGCCGACCTTGACAACAACCACAAAGAAAACGGCAACGTTAATCGCGACCACGAATACGCATTTGAGTCCTCCTTTGAGCTGGACCTGTCTTTGGAGATGCCTCCAGAATCAGACCCGAATCGACCCAGGATATTGAGGTCAACCGCACCGACAGGGAGGCCCAAATCCTACATGGACCCGGAATCAGGCCAGCAAATGCTCTACTATCCTGCGCGTGTGCCCCTGATGCTCAACTTACCGCAAAAACTATCTAAGAATCCTAAGGCGGCCGTGAGGAATAAGCGTAGGTCACAGATTCTAAGTGCCATGCCAGAGGCCAATCGTCAGAATATCAACTGGCTTCCAGAAGTCGTCCCAGAGCCACTGCTCGATCCCCTCGGTTCTGGTTCTAACTCTGACCTATCAGCGCCTATGGCTCGACCTGATTCCTTCGCTGAAACCCGTCTGTCTTTGCCTCTCTTATCACCAGAAACGGAACAAGACGCGCAAACACAGGCACGCCCCAATCCTCGTCCTCTGGACGAAGAAGCGCGCAAGTCTCGCGTATCTTTCATGGATCATACGGATAAACGCAAATCGCGGATGAGCGGGCTCAACGAACTCCCTCCACAGCTGCGAGCCAGTGCGTTCTTTGATCTACCTTCCGAGTCACCTCAAATCGAGCTCAAAGATGGATCGGCCACAGCTACCTTGGATAGCATCCTGGATGCATCTGCCCATGCCCCTGTGTCTGCATTTACCGACCATGCCTTTGCAGGCAGGCTTGGCACCGAGGTGTATGGCGCGGATAAGAAGCGCAGGCCGCAAACCAAGCGCGACAGCCAAATCAATTTGCCGGAGGTCAAGAAGCGGAGCTCATTCTTTCGTTTACGCACACCCAGCAAGCTCAGTCTGCACTCGTCTGCTAACAACGACAAGACAAGCAGCCATGGCGGCAGTGCTAGAAACGACCAAGATGACGGCTTGGCAGATGAACGACAGCGACTCTCCGGCTCGGTAGATGGCGCACCTGTCGAGGTAGAGGGAGAAGACGAAGGGCAGGAAGAGTCAAGTGGAGAAGAGCCAGGCTACAATGGACCCCCGACAACGCTATTAGCAGAGCTGCATATTCGCAAACAGCAGCAGAAGATGCGAACGCAAAATCTCGCCAGCGCGTATCCCAACGGCATGCACTCAACGCTCCTCGAGAGGGACACAATCGCCGAGTTCGAGCGCAAGAACCGAAAGGCCAAGAAAGTTAATCTTGCGTGGGAAGACCCCAACACCGGCACGGCAGACAACTCTGACGATGAAGATCTGCCGCTCGGTCTGCTTATGGCAAGTAAAAATGGCGCCACCAACCTCAGTGCCTTCCACGCCGAGATGAATCGTCCCCTCGGGCTGATGGAGCGCCGCGAGTTAGAGGACAATGAACCCCTCAGTCGACGTCGAGGCCGCCTACAAGGGCACGAGCCAGGCTTGGTGCCGCAAAGGTCCATGATCAACCTGCGTGGCGGCCCTAGTGGGGGCGCGTTGGGCATGAGCGGTGGTCTTGGGCCACCGAGCCCACGCCTGCAGGCCCCAACCCCTGAGGCAGATGAGATTGAAGGCGAGACGCTGGGACAGCGCATGCGTCGCCTCAGGGCCCGCGAAGATGGTGACAACCTGCTCCCACGCGCTCGGCCAGTCAGCGGTGCCTTCTCGGTTGAGCTCCTCAGCCAACTGGGTGACACGTTCAAAGCGGACGAGGCACCGCCCACTGACGTTAAGGGTAAGCAGAAAGTCCAGTTGGCCGAGGAGGAAGAGACGCTAGGCCAGCGCCGGCGCCGCCTACAGGCCGAGCGGGAAGCCCGCGAAAGGGAAATGGGCACTGGGACCATGCTAAGCCCACCTACGGACAAACCCATATCAACTATGCGCCACTCCATGGCCGATGTACTCGGTGCAAGTGGAGTTAAAACTGTCCTCAGCGACCCAAGACTGGACGCGGAAAAGGCGCGACGAGAAGAAGCAGCTCGATTCAAAAAAGACCAGGAGCAAAAGTTCGCAGCCCTACGCGCCCAGATGCCCTCGAACCTGAGCACACCCACTGTGAATCGCTCTGGTGGCTACATGGCAGGGCAATTCAATGATGGAACCGGCGGTGGGTTGGGGACAAGGGCTAGCGTAAGCCCGGGTTCCTTTGGGGGTATTCCGCCGGCCATGAACAATGGTATGACCATGCAGGGTAACATGGCGAACAGGGCCGTGATGGCCAATGCTTATAGTATGGGCGCCGTAGGAGGTGGAATGGTGGGTTTGGGTGTGCCCAATGGATACACCCAGCCGATGACAAACGGCTACGGCATGCCTCTGCACATGCAGATGCCAACTCAGATACAGCAGCCAGGTCAGCAGTATGATAGGGTGGACAGATGGAGGCAGAGCATTGTGCCTTGAAACAACATGACAGAGGATCGATAAGTGAAGGGCAATACATAGAGGCGCGGCATAGTTGGGTACGCTTGAAAGTAGGGCATTGAAATACACAGGCAGCATTGTATCGGCGTTCTTTTTGTATAGCGGGATTCTGGCCGCTTGCATGCTACGGCATCATGGGTGGCGGCGACTATTATCGATTTGGTGGCATGCAAATGCGCATATATTATATATTGTAATTGCTTTGGGGTTTATGAGAGGTTATGAGACTAGTCCCAGGTTTGTAGACGATGTGGCGCAATCAAGATTTCACGATGCTGACTATCACGAAGCTAATTCGTGCCTAGACGTGATGCTTCTTACCTCTCTTAATGCTAGATGCCGGGTATTTGTGATAGCTTGAATTACGCTGACTTCAACGGCATACAGCCCTACTGGGTCGGACTGTGCATAGCAAACCAATTCGCGCAAAAGTTGTGTACGTCAGTGATGATGTAGGTATCCATGACTATGCATGGTTTGACAGATAACCAGATGTAGAGAGCCGTAAGCTAGATTGTCAGACCCTGACCCACCTTGTTAGTTCTTCTCCCTGCTCCTCTGATGTCTCGCAACTTTGATTCAGCAAACATGGCTCGGGTGGCTTGGAGCAAGTTGAGCTGGTTGACATGGCGGGCAAGCCCCCAAGGAGCAGACTTGACCAAGGGCAGTTGAGTGACACAGAGGTGGAGTGAAGACACCAAGACACACACCTTTGGTCGCATTGCCATCTCAAGCACCTTAAATAGCACCCGGGCAATGGCTGTTCTTGGGCAGGTGGGGAGGCAGTCCGCCTCTCGATGCGGCCAGCCATGCTTCCTGTGGGTTCATACACTGGCCGAGCCTGTACATCGCCGAGTGTGACAGCTACACTAGGCAACGTATTATTGAGGACTAGTACTGCAGCAGTGGGTGTCCTTGTTCGTGTCCATGCACATGCTCGTCGTCAATGTCGACCTGTACATTAGGTAGCGAACGAATGTTACTGAAACGGTTGTGAATATCAAACCACGCGATTATTCGGTAGACTGCATACGTACTTCTAACGGAGTCGACTATATGACACATGACTTGTGATGGGGTGGTATTGAAATGTGCATTCCACCGTCAACCGAGTGGTGGTAATACACTTATATAACATATCGTCAAAATGTAAGTCTCTGAAAGTTGAATTTTGAAAATCGGTGGGTAATGTTCCAGGCCTTTGCACAGTTGTTGGGTCGTGCTGGCCTACTCACTTAAGTACGTAAAGTAAATGGACAAACATACTGAGAACATACAGGGTGACTGGCAGGCATGTGTTCGTGTGCAACCCAAGCCATGCGGGCGCTGTCGGCAGACTTGACCTTAAAACCCAACGGCTGTAACATCATGATACGACAGCGGACCAAGCCCATGCCAGTCAATACACCACAGCAGCAGTTCTACACCCGGCACCAACCTGTAAGTCATATGTGAAGGTATCCCAACAGCTCCACACAGAATTTCTTCTGCTGCTGCGTATCTTTGCTTGCCCCCAATGACAAGGTAAAATACTCGCTGCCATAAACCTTGATACGACCCCGATGAGCATGAGACATATCGGGATGGCCGGCAAATGTCTTTCTTGATTCACAAATGGTATCGTCAAGTTTATACTTTTCGACTGGCATTTCGACTTGGCATACACGCTCCTTTCTCTTCTTGGGTTCCCCTGGAGAGCTAAGCTGAGTACTTGTACTCTGCTATTGGATAGAAGACACTCGAACTCGAGGTCTGCCGGCCGACGCAAGACCTAAAGCGCTCACGACGTAAGACTCAACTCATACAGTGCTGGCCTTGGCTTTACTAACATCCGCAACCCTCCAGGAAATATATAAAAGGAAATCTCCACGTTAACTGTAAGCGGCACCAGCAATGTGTCGCATAGTGGTATTCGCGGGATCCTGTACAAAATGCGGCCACAGCTTCACCTGGGACGATCTGACGCAGCATCTAGCCTGCCTCGATGCCAAGAACAGCGGCGTATTTGGGGACTGTACCAGAGGAGTGCAGGTAGACCAACATCATTTCGATCAAGAATGTGATGCGTGTGCTGAGGGGGAAGACGAGGGCGTGGGTGACATAGGGGACTATGGTGCCCCCAGTCGTGGGCATGGCAAGAAGGACAAAAAAGATAAGAAAGATAAGAAAGACAAGAAGAGGAGGAGGTCGTGATATAGAGCCTCAAGATTGCCTGCGGAGGTCCTTGGGCGAAAGTCTAATGTGCCTTAATTTTGTGGCTCGTTGTGCATTCACACGTTAATATGCAAAACCCAGCAAATTTGTTTCCATCTGGTCAGAAAGCGGTTGGAAAGAATTTTGAAGTGTTATCACCGGTCTCTTATTTGGCTACTTATTCCCCTTTGTCTCTACAGCAACATTCTTGGCTGTGTTTGCATGAGTTGTTGATGCTGCCTCTTTGTCCACGAACATCAGTCCCAACCAACATCAGTCCCAACCAACATCATCCAACACATGACTGGCCAGAATTGACTCAGCGATCTCTGTCCTTACTGCATCAAAGAAAACATTGCACCTTAAGATTGTGAATGTTGTGCATGATGGACCAACTTGGGGAAACGAGCGCTGAACCCCTCTTGAAACACCGGCATGGATAGGTATACCAAATAACACTGGCTGCACTTCTACGTGGTGAAGCGATGGCTATGATCCTTTATTTGAAGATTTCGTATCTTAGGAACACAGCCATGGGTAATACATCATACATCTGCGCACGTTGGCATGGTGCTATATGTTAATGTCCCATATGGTCCTAGACCTAATCATCACTGCCGATTTGCAAGTGTGATAATCCATGCTGACGTCCTCTTCCAAGAGATCAATTTCTCCTCGCCTTCTCCCACGTCTCTCTCACAATGAGCCAGTACCGGGTTTCATTGACTCTCACATGCGTGACATGGGAGCCGTTTGGAAAGAGCTCAAGTCGAACGTTGAACCTGTTTGCTTCTGCTTCCTTGGCATGAAGCTCAATGTGCTTCCAGTTTACCATTTGGTCCTTCTTTCCAAATATATATGACCGATTTGTTTGTCGTACCTGCTTGGGATTATTGTGGAAATCGGCATTGACAAGTAGACTGTAGGGACGTCGTAAGACGACTGCATTCACCCATAGGCACACATCAAGCAAGAATATAATTGGTGCCATAATCCAGCGCCAAAACCCCTTAACTCCCGCCATGGACGCCTCATAAGCTCCGCGAAAGTCATATAATCCTGGGCACGAATCATATACTGTCGCGTGTAGGGGAAATGCACGACCAGTATTCTGGCGGTACAGATCAAAGAGGTGCTTCGTGCTGGCTATGCCTCCATTTGAGAAAACATGAACGAGCATCTCGGGCTTCCCAGGCGATGCTGCCAGGTGTCCCGAGTTGACCTGTGCTTGAAGATACGAGACGGCAGGCTGAACGAGCTTGACGGCTTCCGACTCCCAGATGATTTGCTTCAGGACAAACTTAACAAGTAATATCGTCGAGCTCGGGTAGAGTGTCTGGTATCGTGTGATGTATTTGGCAATGTGGACGTCACGCGCATCCATCCAAGCAGCCACCAGGATCAGTTTCGGTGCCAGCGTATTGTTGCCTGTTGAACTTTTCGCGCTGGTAGGTTCATAGAAGAAGACGAATGGCGAGAGCTTGGTCATGGTGCCCAGTGGCTCCACTGCCGCAATAGCAGCTTGATTGGAGGTCATGGCGAATCACCCGCCCTAGGCTGTTCTTCAGCAGGGGTTGGTTTGGTTTGTTGAGTACTTTATTTTCTCCGTGGCTGCCTTTCAAATCATGCAAATCCAGCTAAGGCGCGCCTGGTGGATTTAGAATGGAGGAGAAAACATGACTGCTGCACTCTCGAAGAGGAAAGCAGGCATACGTCTTTTTTTTTTTTAACAAGCCTTACCTCGGAGACCCATGCGCTTGTGAAAGAAGTTGGCTGAGTTTCTACCCACCAATTGATTGTATCTTGGCACGCACGCACTAACTACAGTAACGTGGCCTGCCGTTGGGCCGGTTTGTTTGGCCGACGGTCCGTTGCTAAGACCAAATGCACCTAGTGTGGCAGGTGCAAGTATTTCAGCAATAGGAATGCTCGATAAAACCAAGATCTATTAAGTAGAAAAATGGTATAGGCACTGATATAATTTAGTTGTTTCACCCCAGTTTACCGTTCCTAGATACCTCAATTATTTCTAATCATTTCTGGACTTCGGCCTCGGTTCTAAACTTGGAAGACCTCTCAGAAGCTAGGCGAGTCATCAGCGACGCCTGGTTTGGAGGTCCAGTCTGTGATAGAAATACACTGTGCTATACGATCTTAATATGACGATTGAGGATCATACAAGAACACAATACTCACCCCAAGCATAGGCATGTCTTCTGAGATGTTGGGTGAGTGAGTATCCTGGTACCCAGACCAATTCCGTCGGCCCTGGCACTTCAACGTGTGGATGCGCCATCTAAGTGCCAAACTGAGTTTTTCATGGCCATAGTGACCAGTAAAATTAACAATAGTTTTTAATCAGCTTCATGTGTATATTCTGTCATGGTGAGTTGGGGGTTCGTCGCACATGGAGTCGAATCCGGCAACAGGCTCAACACGCCAGGCACCTCTTTGTACCCACCATTTGAATGCAAGTGACACCGACACCGGTAAGCTATTGTTATTGATAACTATGTTAGTATTTGTTTGGTGAGCAATTGGTTTCGTGGAAATATCTATGTCAGGGCGCAGCCATCACACGGAATAAATTCTCAGGGAACAGCTGGAGCAGGCTCTGGTTAATACCAGTTTACCAGTGTTTTTCTCCCACAGCACCTATCCCACGGCGTTCGACCTTTGCACAATGTTTCTCTGCCTTGACTTGTTATTTAGGTTGAGTATATGTCGTTGTGTAACGGTGTAGTTTCTCAACTAGTGCTAGAATGGGTCCGGAGGATGGATTTCTTTGTGGAAAAAGGGGGTGCGGCGTGGGCGTAAATGCGGTTACCTGCAAGACTGAACCGAAGTTCTGCTACCATAGGGCGAAATTCCTGCAATGACCAAGCCTTTAAAATCTCATCTCAACTGTTTCATAAGGTCTGGGCACATGAGAAGCCACCGCAATCTCCAATATCCACACGATATCCGGGCAGCCATGGTTCGGATTATGATTCAGCTTGGCGATCTGACTGGTGATATCAGCCTTCCCAGTTCTATAGGCAATCTCATTACCTTTGTAAGGGCCTGCATTCGCATCCTGGTTATTAGTGTTGAGCACTTGGTCAGCCATTGGAGAAGTTGAGAATGCCCCGGCTTGTTCATCGAAGCTCCAATGCGCAGACCAACCACAGTATGACGGAAGCCTGCGTTTTCTCTCCGTAGTAGTAGACTCGAGAACTTGAACAAAGACACTGGCGAGTGAAGAAACACTCCGTTGCGGCAGGGTAATTATGTAGCACTAAAGATGTAATAAACTGCCTTTAAATCAAACCGAGGTAATTTTTTGCTTTTAGATACACCTCATAGCCTATATCACACAGCTCCCTTTCGGGAGTACATATGACGGTGTTTGCCTCCAACGACATGTGGCAGGAGCGGGTGATAGCAATACCCATGCACTTGGCCGGCCGTTTCTTCCCCTGGAGACCAACGAATGCTTTAGCATTTACCACAGATGTGCTTGCCTTGTCAGCTGTCAAACCTAATATAATCACTTAAATGTCTACTTGCATGAGCCCGAGACCCGAGTCTGCCATCTAGATAAGCATGTTGACATCTCGTACAAGGGACACACATATCGACCCCTAACTTCAAGAACATAGTATTCAATTTATTGTGACTATACTCGCACTGTGATGCCGTTTTCTTACCCGCTTCAACACCACACCATCATCTCCATTCATCATTTACCATTCGCCATAATCCTCTTTAGTCTCATCTCAATGGCAGCCATCTGATTTGCCGCTCCGCATGGCATCGATGAGTTGCTCGTCTTACCCCGAGACATTGACGATTGCTTCTCGATCCCCGGCTAGACGTTCCGACAAGCGCCAGTGTAGCATTCGAGACCTCTGTCGTTGAAGGTGCAGAACCATGTGACAATGGAACGTCTGCCTCTATCATCTCGCAGCCACACACCATTCTGCCGCTAGTTTGTCGCCAGCGTTGCCGATGCCGGTCTCGACCCGGGAGTGGCCAATGCCAGCGTTGTCAAACGATTCGCACCTCAGTATTCTGTAGATTTCTCTTTGGACAGAGTACCTATGGCCCTGATCATTGATTCTGGGAGTGCAGATACTTGGGCTGTGGGCAATAACTTCACATATATCAACGCTGGCATCAGTATTACGTCAGCCGCGCCGTGCGACCTTAGCCTGGCCTTGCCTCAAGACTTCTCTGGTGGACCCATGATAAACCAGCACTTGCCATTAAGCACGGCGATGGCGAGATCATGGCTAGCCAATTAGGATATGTGGATGTTGACGTAGCCAGGGCCACAGTCTGGAACTAGGGAGTGGTCATCGCCAGTCAGGGAGTGTGGTATGGGGAAACATCACCAGCGGAATCATGGCGTACCCGGGTCTGACGAGCGCATGCTGGGTAAATTACCTTAACGAGACTAGTCACCAAATGTAGATCTTGTAATTCCCCGTCTTTACACGCTTGATGAGAGACAGCCTTATCAACGATACGTTCTGGACAGTCTCTTTCGGGGAGTTTCCACCAGTGGACCTAAGTAAAAGCTATTATTTAGACACACCCATGCTCATTATAAACCAGCTCAACCAAGAATTCAAATGAGGCCAGGCAATCACATGATGCAGGCGAATACGCGAATAAAGGCACCACGGTGCATCAACCACCGTGTTACGCCTTCGTTCCCGTGGGCTTTCAGTACGAACAGTCAAGAACGACCGGCCGCTATCTCTTCATCAGCGACAGGGGCACCACGATATCTACTTGCCGCCCAATACGTGGTATCGTGGGCTGTTGGCCCCCTTGTTGCCCCTGCCCACCACAGCTCGATATCTCTGGTACTATGGCAGTTACTTCAAGGGCTGCAAAGCAATCCTGCCAGAACCCGGCGTGTACGTAGACAGTTCGGTATATTGGGTCAGTGGCCTTGACATGATCATCCAGGAGATGAGGAATCAGCATACGGGTTTGTGTCATACATCCATAACTTCCGGTAGTAGCACACTTTACATTGGTCAGCGGTGGGCAGTGAGGCACGGGATGGAGTTCGCTCCTGACAAGAGTGAGCTAATGCACTTTACTAGGGCCCGAGAGCCCTTGCCGCAAAGTATTCGCCTTGGGGACGCCACAGTGTCGCCGGTAGTCTCAGCCAGGTTCCTAGGAGTCTGGTTCGACCGCAAACTGACGTGGCACGCCCATGTTGAGCGTGTTAAAACAAAAATGGCAACTCAAAAGCTAGCCCTGACAAAGCTAGTCAATATGTCGTGGGGCTGCGATCTTATACGGGCGAGGCTGTTATATACGGTGGTTATCCGTAGCGCGATCGCCTTCGGGGCGACTGCGTGGCATACTATAAGTGAGGAACCGGCAGGGCCAGCTAAGAGCCTGATGGGGATACAGAACGAGTGCCTCCGGGTAGTCTGTGGCGCCCACAAAGCGACGCCGGTTCGCCACCTGGAAGCAGAAGCAGCAATCCCGCCACTAGACCTCTATCTTAGTGCCCGGGCTGCTAAGTTTGAAGAACGGCTACGGCTTAGCGGGAAGAGAAATCTGCTTCGCAGCGCGAGCGCTAAAGCGTCACATATACTCCGGCAGGATAGGCCGGCGAAGAGGAAGCAGGCGTCGCAGCTACTCCGACCGGCAGGGTACACTATGGAGAAGGAGGCCCGGGGCTCCGAGTGGATGAGTGAGGAAAAGGAGGTCCCGGCTGCCCTCCTCGGCCACTGGAGGAAGAGATGGCTCACCGGAGCAGAGCATCACGATCGCCAGCGACGCGCTATCGCTGAGGAACCGGAGGGCCCTTCGATGCAGATACCGAAAGGGGGCAGGTATTTCGGCCTGAACCGACTGGAGGCGTCTACGCTGTGCCAGATCAGGACGGAAAAAATAGGACTAGCAGCCTTCTTATTCAAGACAGGGGCTTTTGGCGTGTACTCGCCGCTATGCCGCTGTGGCGACGCCCCTGAGACGGCAGAGCACGTAATCCTCTTTTGCGGGCTGTTGGAAGGACCGAGGGAACGATTACGGGCCGCCATCGCACCACGGCCACTATACTCTCGCAGAGACCTCGCAACGGCAACAGGAGAACCAGTAGTTAGTGGGACTATTGTAAGGTGGCTGCTAGGGACGGGTCGGACAGCTTCAAGGCCCAGATAGCATCGATCTTCTCAGGGGGGACTTTGTTGGTAGGTTGAGAACCAACGTAGTATGGTAGTGAACGCAACGCAGTCGCCAATAGGGCGAACCGACGACGCAGCGTATGTATTTAGTCCAGCCATTAGGGCACGGTTTGACATACGGGAGTACTAGTAGAGGTACCGGGGGCTTCGAGCCTACGGCGTATTTAATAATAATATTATTATTATTATATACCTATATACCTAGATATATTAGATCGAGATAGATTTAGCTCGAGCCTAGATCGAGAGGATTATAGATCGATCTAAATAATCTAGTAGGATTAGTAAAGAAGAGATAGATATATAAGGGACTAGACTCCTAGGTATTTTATAGATATATAGT